AGAGCAAGGATCATCCCATCTAAACATTTCTTTAACCCTACTTCCTCTTGGGGTATTTCCTCACATGCCAGCCTATTGATCAGATGTAATGGCAGAGGCAGGAAGCAGACAGGAGATAACCCCATAGTCTCCTCTGCAGCTGGGCTGCTGGTGGAGAGGATCCCATTTGGAACCCAGAATTATCGGCTATTTTAGTAGCTGTCCATAAAGTCACTTCAGAGGGATTTAGTCTCTGACCAGTGACTCTGGAAAAATATTGTGGGGTTCCACATTATAGCAAATGTGTGACCATCTCTGATGTCATGACTGTCACTCTACCATACACCATGGCCTTTCAAAACTCATGGCAACAGCAGAAGGCACAGAACTCTGACCCACCTGCCCAGGCCTCAACCATGGAATCCAAAGAAGAATCTATGTTAGCTGTCCGCAGCATAAGGCCTATGGCTAAGGCTACGATTTTGGCACAGAAATTTTTAGTAGATTTCACAGCAGCGGTGTGGGGGGAAAACGGTAAGTTATGGCAAGGTCACCAAATAATGTAGTTTGCACTACATCAACATGCAAAGAGTATGGTGAGGGTGCTGAAAGGGGAGGCCCGGAGCAGTGAGGGGGGCATGCTGTGCTCACCCTGCACCGGCAGCTCCTGTCCTGCAGCACCGAGCCCGACTCCCCATTTTGGACATTGGGACCTGGTGCATGGGGTCACAGTGCCGCTCAGGTTTGGCCCGTCCACCCCGCTACAGATGGAGAAGGAGGGTCAGACAGGCGAAGCCTGAGTGGGGCTGCATTCCCATGTGCCAGGTCGCAACACCACTTGGTCTGGGGGCAAATCAAATGAGTTTTTACAGCCATGTCCAAGATTTCATGGATTTTATTGAAATTCACAATTTCTGTGACCTCTGCAACAAAGTAGTAGCCTTAAGATACAGAATTGTGCATTTCAGATTCCAACCAGTAGAGGGCAGTGGTGCATTTCCACACTAGCCAGCTTTACAATATTGTAATCTAGTATAATAATTCATATTGTGCCATAAAGAGACATATTCTGTCCTATGTACACTCTGTCAATGAAGTAGAATGGAGTGTAAATCATGGCAGAAACTGATCCCCACGTAGAAGATGTGGGGAATCAGATGGGATCATTTGATTTACAGAGTCGCTTTTACGGCTCTAAACAGATGTTAATACAAATAAATTCCCCGGGAATCACAAAGGACTTTAAAGGGTCATCATCAGCGCTCACCAAGTCAGCCATGGAAACTGACCAGCGATCAGACCTACCTTCTCATTCAGGGGACGGAAGTCTTCGTCCAGAGAGACGATCCGAAACAGAACTGCAGAGGGAATGATTGAGAGAGGAAGAGATTTTCATTGTTACACCTGCAGCCGCTCACCCAGGGACCATCAGTCATTGAGGCAACTGCTGTGTGCATGCCTGGCCCTGATGCAATGACCCATGGACACATGCAGGGTTGGATGCATGCACCACACTCCCCAGCTTTGTGACTAGCGGGGAGGAGGTGGGAAGGCAGGTTTACGGCCAGCTGTACTAACTTGGTGATGAGTTGTGGGGTCTCTGGGGAGGCAGGGAGGATTTCCTGTTCTGTATCTAATTCCCCACCTGATTCCCTGTACCTGTTTGTCCAGGTTTGTAGATGGGTTTGTCCGTCTGGACAAAGACCAGGCTCTCTGAGTTCTTGACCAGCACCGATTTCCGGCTCCTGAACTCCAGCGTCGGCCCCTTCACCAGCACCGTGAGAAACGCTGCTGATGAGCTGCTGGACTTTGGAACCTGGAGAACAGTAAAAGAGCCGCTGCCTTAGAGACGCTCCCCTCTGCACTGAGCCCTTGGAGGCTGGAGTTGTACATTTCCCTTCCCTCGTTATGCTCCTTCCTCAAAGGGATTGATGGACTGTGATCGTGTCCCCCCAGCTGTGGATCCCAGTGATGGAGGAAAATGGGAAGCTACATTTGATTAATTACTTCTGGGCTGGGTCCATTTTCTTCTACTGTCCCTCCAGCCAGCCTTGAGAGCTGCAGGGAGAAACCCTGAACTGGCCCTCGGGAGAGGCACAAGATGAGCTCATGGACATCGATGATCTCGAGGAAGTTCTCTAACCTTCTCCATCCATGGCTTTCTTTCCGGTCTCACTCAGAGACTTGTGGAGCCCCCTGAGAAATGGGAGACCAGTCCTCAGCCACAAGGTCAGCACTGACTCAGAGAGAAAAACATCCAACAAAGCCAGCCACACCACAGCCTGTAGCACAGCCTCTCCCAGCATCGTGCCGGGCACTGAGCTCAGCACTGACTGAAGATCACTCCTAATGAGTCACCCACAGCACTGCCAGCCAGGGACCGTGGTTTTACTTGAACTTCTCCTACCTGAGCCTGTGATTATTGATGGTATCAGGCCTTTCAGAGGTTGGTCCCAGGCTGTCACTATCTTACAGACTCAGGTAATAAACTGTGTGGGGGCCAGATACTCACTGTGAACGGGATGCACTTGAACACGTCCTTCTCTGACACCACATCTGCGATCAGGCTCCTGTTC